ATTATTCAAACAGATTTTTTTCTCCCTTTTTTGCACAAAAATGTTTCATTTCTGGTGTGAATCTTCAAGCAGTCTTCTTCTTTACAACAGATTTCTTCCTAGATTTCTTTTCAGATTGTGGCTTCAATCTTTCTCCTTTGTTGACAGACTTTGATGACCGCACAGGAGGATCTTTCAATGAATCATCAGTTTGCACTTTGTTGACAGACTTTGATGACCGTACTGGAGGATCTTTCAATGAATTCTCAGTTTGCACTTTATCTTGATGTTTCTTTCCCTGCAAATACTTGACATGAACTTGAGCAACAGCATCAAGGAGTTCTTTACTAAGCTCAGAATCTTTGCTAACGTACGAGCAAGCTTCCCCAACTTTACTCATCAGGATAGCATATCTAACAGCATTGTGTGATTGATCATCACCTCCAAACAATATATTATCTTTCTTGAACTTCTCTAGTTCGTTTTCTCGAAAAGAAATAGTCCACCTGTCAACAATCAATTTATCTGGAATTTGGGTAATGTTGAACTGTGTAAACAGTCTGAGGATATGGCAACAAACAATACCATCACGCTCAAATTTCCCACAAAAACATTGAAACGACCCAGTAACAAGGTCAACATTAACTCTGAACATTTCTCTTGTGAATTCTGTTTTTCTGTACCATGTGTGCTTATTCAAGTCATACACTCTCTCCTTCTCAACTTCTATAACTTTAAAAGCTGTCGCATTCACTAATTCTGTGAGAAATTTCAAGTAAATTCCTTTGGTATATATTGCTGCTGCATGCCGTTCAACAGCCTGATGACTCCAATACACATGACTCTTCTCATTTGACAAGAATCTGTCCTGGTTTTCAATGTGAACAACATTTTCTTGGAATAGCACGTATTGTTTCATGAATGCCTCTATAGTATCTTTCCTCCTGATATAGTCTTTGAAATTAGAGTTGAAACTTTCACTACGGCTGGTTGACCTAATGAAAGGGCAGAACAATCCTTGGAAATAAGCTGGAACAAAAAAGGTCTGGTTCTCCCACATCCTTTTGATGTGAGCATGCCTAGCACACTCATACTTCACAACAAATTTCTGCCATCTTTGTTCGAATTCCTCAACAGTAATGGACTACAACAAGCACTTCATCATATGTTTCTCCATTTTTTCCCTTGTAGCCATAAATGCACTCATATTTTCCCTGACATTCTTAAATATATGCCAAAGACAGAACCTATGTATAGCATATGGAAAAACTTTAGGAATAGCAGCTTTCATCCCTGCATCTTGGTCTGTCAATATTATTCCTGGTTTCTTCCACTGCATTACCTCCATAAAAGTTTGAAAGATCCATTCAAAAGTATCTGAAGTCTCATCTTGCAATAGGGCCCAACCAAAAACAATTGTTCTACCATGTCCATTAATTCCAACTATAGGTGCAAAAGGCATGTTATACTTGTTTGTGCTGTAAGTGGTATCAAATGAGATTATTTTGCCAAACAACCTGTAGTTCAATCGGAATCGAGCATCTGTCCAAAATATGCCGAGGACAGTGTTGTCTGTGTCTCTTTGCAACCTATAGCAGAAACCAGGAGTATCAATTTGAAGCTTGTCAATATACTGCAATGTCCATTCAATATCTGTGTTCTCTTTCTTAAGGATTCGTTCTCCCTGTTTCAAGTTATCTAGCTTCTTCACATCAAACGTATTGTTTCCCAACTTCCCACCACATAGCCTTCGGAATATACTCATGATTCTTCTAGGTTTCACTCGTTGTTCTTGGAGCAACTTGGACAACATTATCTCTTCCTCATTCATATTTCTGTGGCTTAAGAAAATTTTTGTAAGTGATGGTGAGCTCACTAGATCATGGTTATGCTGAAGAGAAACTGATGCAATGTGCCACTTGTCATCCACCAACTTCACTATAATATTCATCGGACAATTTGTACCTTCAATGATGTTTCTTTTCCTTTTCCTCAAACCACTGTTGGCACTTGGTCTTTTCCTACCTTTGTTGCATTGGAAATACAATTTCCTATTCTTGTAATTTCTCCCTTTTATCACTGCGAACACATTCAACTGAGCATATACATTTGCAAACCTGAGCGATTCATCCAATGTTGAGAATACTATACCAACTTCTGGTCTACTAGCACGGTCCGCTTCTTCTGGTGTAGGGAACACATAATCTTCACTACCAGCACAAGCTACTGAATCTTCATCAGAATCTTCGCTGTCATAATTTCTTTCATAGCTATAGTCACAATTCTCAGCCAAAGAAAGTACCTGCAAAGCGAGAAAACATATTTAGGGGACATCACAATAGCAATCATCCAAATAGCAGTGTTACTTTATCAAAATCTTTCCTGTGAAATTTTCTTTACCTCATTGCAAAAAAAATTCACTTCTTCTCTTGTTGTCAAATGTTCAGTGCACATGTTCTCGCCAACACTATCCTGTGGATTTTTCTTTACAATGTTCAGTGCACATGTTCTCGCCAACAAATTTACTTCAAGTTTTTAAAATGTATTTCCATAGTTACCTACTTGCTCAAAGTTAGTTGCACTGCCGAAGAAGAACCTGTAACAATGTTCTGGTTCTCATTTATTCTCTCAAGTAACTACCAAACACAAAGAAGATGAACTTTTTGTCAAGCAATTAAACTGTACTCATGAACTTGACAAGAATTCCTCCTGCCATTCAGCATAGGTAGAATTATAATTACAACACTCAGCTTGACAGCACTTGCACTATGTTCATCATTATTAGATATTTCAAAATCTTGGCTCATGATATTTCTCGCACCTTCTTCAACTTCTTTGTCAACAACATCGAACAAGCTAAACCCCATTTCAGCTTCTTGACTTTCAATCAGTTCCTGACAGCAAACAAAATGAACCAATTTTCAGGTTCCATGAGTCTCAATCAAAATTCATTAGTTCATACGTCAATACTTGAGAAATATTAATGCAAATCTAAACTAGAAAGTACGTACAAACCTCAGTTCTTTTGCTCAAGCTTTGGTATTCCACGAACTAATCAAATTCTTCCATCAGAGCACAACCCTAACACAAAATTAAAAGAAATTTAAATGTTTTTTGAATGATCACTGAAATTCTGTTCAAAGCCATGACTGATTTTAAGGACAGAAACTTACGACACTTGCAGATTCTACAACACTTTTTCCTAGTATAACATCACTCAACTTCTGCTTTGTCTTCTTCGACTCTTTTCCATTGGACGGAACTACTTTTCTAGTTTGTTTCTGCAATCAGAAGAAAAATTACATTAATCTAATAACTGACTATGAAACAACAGAGAAACATGTTTTTGTAATGGTAAAAAACAAGTATATAGGCTAACCTTCTTAGTTACTTCTTTCTTCTTAATGATTACCCGCTAGTTACTGAATTTGTCAACACTGTTATCCCCTTCCATGTTGATAAACCATAGGCTGCAACATTATTCAGAATGGACACTTATTTTTCTCCAAAGAAGCTTATTGGCATGTACTGGTAATTAAATTCAAATACAAAATTACATGATAGTCTGTGTTTCCAACCACTAGTACCCAAGAATTAGTACTCCAGGAAACAAGAGACAAAGAACCTGCTTCCAGCACCACATGCTGCGCAGTCATCTACCTGGAGACGAGGAACAACCCAACTTCTACTGTTCTCCCAGAGTTTACAAGGTAGTTCTTCCTCAGATCAACAACAACTAACTGGCGAGATGTACGTGCAATCTACCTTTTTTTCTCCTCTAAAACAGTCAGAACTTCTTCTTTGCTATTTCTTGTCCCCTCTTACTGAAGAATGAAGAGAACTAGTACCTGTGCGCTCCAGCACCGCCACCGGTCCAAGGAAAGTTGGACGTGCCCTGTCGCCGCTTCCGATACGCTGCCGCCGCGTGCCGCCGCGTGCTGCGGAAGATTGGTCAAACAGATCTAGCCACGTAGCCCCAGGTCTTATCTGGTCGGCACCGTTCTTTTTTTCGTTTTTTCTTTTCCTTTATTTTTTCCTTCTCACAAACAGACAAGTGGGGCCCTTCACTCAGTACACTTTCCCCAACCCAGCCGCATACGCATTTCTCTCCTCTCTCCCCCTCCCGTCACTCTGGTGGCTCCTGAGATCTGGTTTTCACCGGAGAATCACCAGCGGCCGCTTCATCGGCTTCACTCAAAAGGTTCGCTCCCTTCCCTCTTCCATCTTCCTATGTAGTTTCTGCCCTAAAAGCCTCTTCGCCCCTCCCTGAGAAGAGAATTAGTCAGTGGCTACAGCAGCGCTGGAGCACCAACGATTTAATGGCTTAGAGTAGAACTCATGTACCACTGGTCCTCACTGTAGTTCCACTCCCTTCTTCCCATCAAATTCCTCCATTCCTCCATGAAATTTCTGGCTTAGACTATAACTTCTGTAGAGGACGGACTGTTTCATGTCTGATTAGTTGGTTCCTGATAGTGCTAGATCTGGACTACTATTTTTCAAATACTGTGTATATAGATGTCCAAGTAGGATCTGTACGTGCCTTAGTTAATTTATTATAGCAGTAATCCTGTTGCCATTTCTCCGAAAGAGAAAAAAGTAAACAATATCTCGTTAGGCAGTACCGCATTTACTTGCGTTTTGTTTGAACATGCACATATGAAATCCTGACCGGGGGTATCAATTCGTGTTTGCTTCTTCTAAATGTTGTTTCCCAAGGTCAAACACGTTACATGCATGCTCACAGTTCTTCCTATTTTTACAGAAGAGCAATGTATAATTTGTTAATCCCGTTCGAGCGAGGCTCACAACTTTCTTCTTTCAACTAGTTGCTTACCATGTTTTTTTTGCGATACACTAAATTTGAAGAGTTCCTGTAGTACATAATTGATGAATATTTTATACCTGAATTTGCTGGCATGACCATCTAAATTAAGTTACTACGGTTCTTACTTCGTTCTTAAATTTCATGTCTGTCAAGTGTGGCAACAAGTAATATTAATGTTTGTATTCATTTGTAGATGGAACAAGGATGCAAAAAAAGAGAAGCAGATCAAATAGTATATGCAAGGAAAAGAACCAAGGTATTACACATATCGTTGCAAGTATTCCTGTTTCACACTTAATAAAATCATCTACTGAGCTGCAACGAGTTTGTTTATTTCATTCTATGTTTTGTTTCATTCTCTTTACATGCAGTGTAATCAACTTCAGCATGTTGAAGCATTTCTGAAGCTCACATCTGAAATATCTGATAATTGCAAGCAACGTATACATAGAATGGGTTTCAGGGCATTCCTACAAATAACTAGCTTGTCCAATATAGACTATGTTTACATCTGGCTTGCAAATCATTTCAACACAACTTCGTGCTCTATTGAAACACCGAATGGCTTCAAATTCCGAATTACACCTTCAATTGTTCACAAATTTTTTGGCATTCCAATTGGTGGACATCCTGTAATCACAAAACCATCAGAAGCAACGTATGAGTTCATTCAACAACAATTAGGAACGACAGCACCAACAATTGAATACCTTTTCTCAATTATGAATGATGATCTCCCTGAAGAAAAATACTGCAAAATCTTCATTCTCATCCTCCTGTCATTGTTTGTTGCACCTAATTCAAGTGGAGTTGCTAGCAAATTTGTGTACAGTGCAATAGTTGACATTGACAGAATTTCTCAGTATGATTGGTGTTTGCTTTGTCTGAGCTACATGGTTTATTCAATTAAGAAAACAAGGCTGAAGAACATAGTGAACAAAGAAATCATTCCTGGTGGAAGCAAGTTACTTATGCTGGTAATAGTTTTAGCCACAACATAACTTCTTACAAAATTCAGGAATTCACTTTTCTTATTTTTACTTATATTATCACCGCTTTTATTTTTCAATGATAGATATCTTACTTTGAGTTCCTGATAATATCTGAAATCAAGATGCCGACTATAGAACCAAGACTACCATTATGGACAGCAAACATGCTAAATTCATATATGGCACTTGATGTTGTGCATGGGAAAAGAAATGAGTATGGCAGACTACCGGTATGCCATTTTCCTGCAGAGATACACTTTTGCACAGAAGATAGTTTTAATTGTTGTTTTACTTGTTCCATTTGTTCTTATCTCTTACTGCTTCTCTATACATTGAAAATATTTTATTTATCTTTGACATCATCTTCTTATCAAACAGATAAAATACATGTTTCTCAACTCCATTCATTGATTCAAATTACATCGAACTACCTGAAGAAATCGCAGAGTATATTGAATCCAAATTCTTAGATATCAGTCTAACACAAGCAAGTTCTCTTCGTGCCTCTAGTTTTGTTCAAAGTAACGAATACTTGTTTATATGATTCTGAGTTCTTTTTTACAACAACAGGATAAAATCATTCTTCAATTAAAAGCTCAAGATTTCTATAGAAATATCTTTCGGAACACAACTCCTACCATGAAAACCTATGTAGATGACATCCATTCTTCATTTCTGAAGAACATGACAACTTCCAGCAGCCAAAATGTGCAAATTAAACCAGCACTTTCAGAAAACACATTCAAAGTTCCTACATCTAAAGAATTGTTGGCTATACAATCACCTCGCATTTTCCCAATGCTAGATGTTCCAACAATAATTGATGAAGATAAACAAGTCAACATACATGATATTCTTGATTCATTGGTCAATGATTTCCCGCAGTCTGTCAACATAACAAGTACAAATCTCACTCTCTCTTTCTGTGGTGGTAATCTACCATCTTTTGAACAACTTGCTTGCTCGGAGCTTTTTGTCAAGAGATCAATTCCAAAAGTAACACCCACCATTGATGCTTCTGCACTGTTACATCGTAAGTTTTTTCTTCTCTATAGCTGCTACTCAATATTTTTTTCTATGTGCCCAATTTTTTTTATGAAATAACTCGTACCAAATCTTTTTTTCTATTGTACAGAATTCTTTTCTGAAACAAAATCCCCAAAGAGAAGAGTACAAAAAACAAAGTTCTGCTTTCCACTATTCAGATTCTTATTACCAGGAGAGCGCTTGGAAGGTCATTTCTCTTTACTATTTCTTTTTTTGTACAATGATTCTTTAGCTGGTGCAGATTATTGATCTAACTGTTTCTGTCCTGCTTTCTTCTTTCCCAACCAGATTTTGTTAACCCTGAACTAAATAAAGGTTGGTTGCCTCCTGAAATCACATATCCAGTTGACGAGTCTCTCAACAATACGCTGCATGGCAATTCAAATGGAGAAGCTGGTTCAAGCACTTAGTACGCACAAGCAGATTATCCTTCCTTTGATGCAGTTACCAATTCAATTGACATAGTACAGAAAGTTCCTTCTAATTCTCAAATAATTGCATCAGAACAATCTAAAACTTTTGCACCTACTCCGTCTTCTCAGTTCAGCCTCCCACCAAGTGAATATAACAACAAACATCATAATTATGCAAAAACCATTGTTCTTCCAAGTGAGAGCCCAATAAGGATAATGGACTTCCTGTCACCAAAAGTCTACCCAAGCAATATTGGCACACCCATTGAAGATCCTTTGTTAATTCAAGCACTTGAACAACACATTCCAGTAAGTTCTCAAAACCAGAAGGTTCAACTTGGCAACAACGCATAAACAATTCTTTCAAATCTGGGAATGTAGTAGTCCAAGATCAGAACAGGGGAAATAAGCAGGTCATTTTTCCAACTGGAATAGAGAATGCCTTCTACCAATAATTGGTTGGACATCTTTCAAAGTTAACCTACAGGTATGAAAAATGGCACATGAAATTTATCATACATCTTTCTACATGTTTTGGACATAAACAAATCTAATCTTTTAAAGCTTTCTCTTCTTTGTTTTTTTCTACTTGTGTTAATGTTGCTCTTCTCCCATAAAACAGCCAAAGGATCTTCAAGATTGAACGAATTTGGGTTGACCAGAAAACCATAAAACTATCACTCAAGGCTGGTGGTTAGATAAATCCTCGGGTTGTTGACTGTTTTTCAAAACTAAGGAATAAAGACCAGCTCAACCGAGGAAGAAAAGGCCTGCTTCCAAAAAGCGATTTAGTAGAACATATAGTTAGCATTGATGACATGGTCAGCCTATATTTCTGTTTTTTTCATACTTTCTCATTTACAGTACAACAGTTTTTGTTCCTTTTCCTAACTTTCAATCATTTTGTGCAAAACAAATATGTAGGAGAAGCTAATGAACCCAATGCTAAATCATTCAGATCCTGCAAACAAATTGATCTTACAAGAATGTAATGTTGGATTCAGTTTATTGAACGCTTCCTTGGTAACAATTTCTTTATTTGTTAAAACAGATAATACAGAATTTTAATTTTTTCATAGAGGTTTGACTAATATTCCTGTTCCTTCAATTTATCTAGGTAAAAATGCCTGTGTTCAAGGAAAAACAATTGTTATTAATCATTGCTAATTTCAGAGCCAAATTTTTTGATTTTATGAACCCCTACTACAGCGGCGATGCATTTCTACCAACAATTAGTGCAGTAATCTACAACTTCAAGACTTTATTCACTGCATCATATGGAAATACTAGTTCTTTCAACATAGGAAATTTTGAATCAAGATTTGTACCAGCTCCAAAAGTGAATTTCAGGTGCTTTTTCCACCGAGCTCAGGCCTTTTATGATTCATTAGCAACTTCTTTATTCTACTCCCGAAGAAATAGTTAGAAAGATTTTTAAGTTAATCGAAAATTTCAACTCAGTTTTCTTTTCTCAGGTACGACTCAGGAATTTTCCTTCTTCAGTATCTTAGCAAGTACAAAGGCCTCGGAATGGAAGGTTTCTTCAATGTAAGAAGTTACCAATTCATTCGTTGAGAGCACTTGTTTTCCTTGTTCAACTTTCTTTGAAATATATATCTGTTTTTTCTAACCTACTACTCCGTTTTTTACATTCCGAAGGACGATTTACAAGCTTTACGGGAGAAATTCTTTTTTGAGATCATAACTTGCAAGGACAATGAAATTCAGCTTCCATTCGTAACTTCTTTCCTACAGAGACATGTTAGTATTCTATTTTCTTTTTATTGCGACAATCCTTGGCCTCCTCCTCATCACATCTCAATTTCAACAGGGTTTGCGCATTTTCAAGTGAGACATTCAACAGGATTTCTGCATATGAACTAAACTTTTACGTAAGTTCATGATCTCTAGTTTCCCCATGAAGAATCATAATGAACTTTTTTCCTAATCTCAACTAACATTTTTTACTTTCTTATTCCTTAGGTATTCAATGCCATTCATTACTGTCAAGTATAATGGAATTTGCACTTCAAGATGTTCTCCTCAATTTGCATTGAAAAGGGAAAAAAGTGGCGAAAATGCTTCATCCTAGGAAAAAAACATTTGTTTCTATTTTTCTGTTTGTTTTTTCATGTTCACCCTAGTGATACTTTCTGGCATATGAACAACAGAAACAGTTCCTGAAGAAGTCGTAATTGAAATTCCTTTACCATACATTTTTCAGCCTACTTATAATTCGTTCCAGAAACATGTTGACACCAGAAACAGTTTGGCACCATTTTTCAGCATACTGATAATTCGTTCTACTTGTTCTAACTCCTTCCTCCTTTGTTTTAAATTGTTTGGCACCAGAAACAGCTTCAAACTAAAACAACGGAACAATTTTGAACAGTTCAGACAGTAGACAGGAGAAACAGTAGACAGGAGAAATAGTAGACAGGAGAAACAGCAGAACTCCCGCCAGTAGAAACAGTACACAGTAGAACTCCCGCCAACGCGCTAGAAACAGTTGAACTTCCGTCAACGCGGCCCGGCAAGCCCAGCAACAAGGTCCCCTATGCAATCGCCCAGCATTCTGATGCAGAATGCGGCGGTTAGGAGCTCCCGAAAATAAGAGCAACTAGTTAACGAGCGCTCCTTCGTAACAAGCGGAAGCGCTACGCGGGCGACAATTGTCACGCATGGAGCGCTCCAGCGAGGGAAAACCAAGCGGCGCGGTTGGTTCCCGGTTTTCCCTTTCCGGTTTATGATTTTATGAATTTTGCAGTTTAACCCTCCAACTACTAGCATTTTCCGTTTTTCCCTTTCCACGCGGTAACACCAAGAAAATAACGTCCAATCGCGTTGGTTCCATGTTTTCTTTTTATTTCCCTTTTTGTTCCCATTATATTTCTGGGAAATGAAGATTTATGGGGTAGTTACGGATGGGGGGCTACCAACACTATCAAATGTGACCTTTCAAGTAAGGAAAAAAGAGCAACATTTATCAAGGCATAGTTCGACGCACGGTCGGGATGACTGCAGAGGCATCGCTCAATCCTGTGAAATGCAAATGTCTATATTCTCTGTATGCACAAATGTATACTAGTAGAGGCATGGTTTGTATAAGTTTACTAAATTGGAGCGCGGCGCCTCTGGCGCGGGGAACCTCCTGCTCACCTTCGGCTCGTTGAATTTTCATAAACATCTTGAAGGGGAGGGGCATGTGTCGAAGTGTGTGTTGGCCATTCAGCGTGTTGGTTCGTGCGGCGTGTTGTCCGTCATGGCGTCACACGGCGCCTCCGACATGGGGAACCTCCTGCTCGCCTTCGGCTCGTTAAATTTTCATAAACATCTTGAAGGGGGGGCATGTGTCGAAGTGTGTGTTGGTCGTGCAGCGTGTTGGTTCGTGCGGCATG